CCCCCCCCCCCCTACCTGTAACGTTAACGTATACCCCTCTTACCTGTTATAACTCTTACCTGTTACTGTTATCCATCCTACCCGTAAGTTCTACCCCTCTTACCTGTAAGTTATACCCCTCTTACCTGAAAGTTATAACCCTCTTACCTGTAAGTTACTTTTACCTCTCTTACCTGTAAGTGCTACCCCTATTACCAATACGCGTTACCCATTTATCATGTAACTGTAATCCCTTTTACCTGTTACTGTTACCCCTCTTACCTATAAGTGTATACCCCTCTATTGTAACTGTAATCCCTCTTATTTGTAAGTTATACCCCTCTAACCTTTAACTGTTACCCCTCTCACCTGTAAATTATACACTCTTACCTGTAAGTCTGACCCATCTTACCTGTTAGTTATACCCTCTTACCTGTAAGTGTTACCCCTCCTACCTGTAAGTTATATCCCTCTTACCTGTAACTGTTACCCCTCTTATCTGTAAGTTAAACACATCTTACCTGTAAGTTATGCCTCTCTTACCTGTAAGTTAAACACCTCTTATCTATAAGTTACCTCTTACCTGTAATTTATACCCCCTATTACCTGAAAGTTATACCCCTCTGACCTGTAACTGTTAACCCTCTTACCTGTAAGTGCTACACCTATTACCTGTACGCGTTACTCATTTATTAAGTAACTGTGATCCCTTGTACCTGTAAGTTATACCCCTCTAACCTGTAACTGTTACCTCTCTTACCTGTAAGTGTTACCTCTCCTACCTATAAGTTATAACCCTCTTACCTGAAAGTTATACCCCTCTTACCTGTAAGTTATACCCTCTTACCTGAAAGTTATAACCCTTTTACCTGTAAGTTATACCTCTCTTATCTGTAACTGTTACCCCTCTTACCTTACCTGTAAGTTATGACCCTCTTACCTGTAAGTTAAACACCTCTTATCTATAAGTTACCTCTTACCTGTAATTTATACCCCCTATTACCTGAAAGTTATACCCCTCTTACCTGTACGTTATACCCTCTTACCTGTAAGTGCTACCCCTCTTACCTGAAAGTTATACCCCTCTTACCTGTAAGTGCGACCCCTCTTACCTGTAAGTGCGACCCCTCTTACCTGTAAGTGCGACCCCTCTTACCTGT